ATTCTACAATGGTATATAAATAACACTGTTCCAAAAGCCACTGAACTGCCTTTTTATATTGTATAGTGTCCTAACCTTCAACATGCTAATGCAAACTCTGAAATCAAATTTGAAATCTTTTAAAATCAAGCTAACAAAGTGATACCCTTAAGTGCAAAAAATATCACTCAAAATATTGAGTTATTGAGTTAAATATATATATTTTTATCAGTACTTTTTGTGCTTGTCAATACTTGTAATTTAGCATATTTGTAATCGACATATCTCTTCTTTCATTTTGTGGGATTTTTTGTTTTGTTTTTTTTCCCACTGATTCCTTACAAACAATTTATGAGATGCTGCCCTAGAAAATGGCCAAAATATGGAACATGAAATATAGAAAATCAAACCGCCTTTGTTCCACAACTTGAAATGATGCTGTGTAGGTTGGCGCCTCAAAATAAGGAATGCATGCCAACCTGCATTTTCATTTGCATTTTGTCAGTTCCATTGTTAGTGTGAATTGTTGCAACCCGGGGAGATTTTCTGTTGGTCTAGTGGGAGCTTCCTGTAAGTCATCCTGTTTTAGGTGTAGTTTGAAGAGTAGCTCACTTGTACTAACTCTATAGGTCACTACAGTTATCTCTGCTATTATTAGCTTGGTTTAAATATGAGGAAATGTATAAAAACTGGAAAAAAAAAAATCAACAACTCCGTAATCTCTAATGGGAAAATAATATTTATATAAGCATCTGACTAATGTATCCCTCTCCTTCCCTTGGCCCTTTCTCGTTTGTGCCCTCTCCTCCTGCATGTGTCCTTCCTCATTTGCCTGCTCCTCCACCTTGGCCTCCATGTCTTCCTACTATTTTGACCAGGATTGTGGAAATCGCCGCCTGTCACTCCACACACACCTCTGCGGCGAAGACCCAGAGCGGTCAGGTGTTCATGTGGGGGCAGTGTCGTGGACAGCCAATCGTGCTGCCACACCTCACACACTTCAGCAGCACAGACGACGTCTTCGCCTGCTTCGCCATGCCGTCTGTGATGTGGCGGCTGCTTTCCATGGGTGAGTTTGTGCTGTTGTTTTGATGTTTAGTTCTCTTTTGCTGCTCTGTTGTTGCCATTTTAATGCAGTTGCTGTATCACTGCTGTTATTTTATGTGCATTACACAGAACTAAACTGCAGAAACTGATGCAGTCACTGGTCTTGCATAACGTTGCTGTATTTTTCATCAGAGCATGATGACTTCCTGACTGTGGCCCAGTCTCTTAAAAAAGAGTTTGACAATCCTGAGACCTCGGACCTCAAATTCAGCGTCAACGGGAAGTACATCCATGTCCATAAAGCTGTTCTCAAAATCAGGTGACGACCTCACTCCAGTTTCATCATTAATAATTTGTGCATTAAAGAGCTTAATGCTCACTTGGTTACTGCTAATTACAAATTTCTCCTCTTTTAGTCATTTTCTGTCTCCTCTTTTCAGGTGTGAGCACTTCAGATCAATGTTTCAGTCACACTGGAATGAGGATATGAAGGAAGTGATTGAGATCGACCAGTTCTCGTTCCCGGTGTACCGCTCTTTTCTGGAGTTCCTCTACACCGACAGTGTGGATCTTCCTCCTGAAGACGCCATTGGTGGGTTCATTTTGAGACACAGTTTTACAGAAAAATATTCCAGCAAACTTATAGACGAGTATAAGAAACCAGTTAAAATGGACCAAAACTACACCAAGTAGAAAAAAAACTATTACTCTTACCTAGCTTTAAAATGGACTTCTATCTGATTTTTGTTGCCAGGTTGCAGTTAATTTTCCATTCACACTATTGTTTTTTGGACTACATGTCTATAAAATAATTTATAAAGTAAAATATTATTTATTCATATTATTATTATTATTATAAGAAGCTATAAATCATTATTATTATTATTATTATTACTATTATTTACAATAATATTATCATTTGTATTTACAACAACAATAATAATAGTAATACATTAGTAATAATTTGTTGTAGTTATTATGAAAAATAGAATATTTATTATTTACATTAACAACAATACACCAATAATGGTTAGTTATTATTATTTACAGTAACATATATTTTTTACAACAATAATGATACAACAGTAAAGATTAGTTATTGTTGTTATTAGTAACAATATAATAGTTATTATTTACAATAATAACAATACGTTAATAATGGTTTATATAATTAATTTTATAACAATACATTGAAAATGATTAGTTATTATTTACAGTAACATTTTTTTTACAATAATACACCAATAATGAGTTGTTATTGTTATTATTTGCAATGATATACTTATTATTTACAATAACAATAATAATAGAACATCAATAATGATGATTTGTTGTTGTTATTATTATTCTTATTATTTACAATAATTTAAAAATGTTAATTTAACCAAATTTAGTATTGTATGCTTCTGTGTTTGTTATTTGTGTGTTGTAATCTATAACATCAAAAACATTTGGAACTGTAAAAATTAAGTTCAAAGCGTGTTATAAAACAAAAGAAAATTCAAGATAGTCAGAACATTTTTGTTGTACCCATCAAAAAATGAATGGATTTGGATATCTCTCACAGGGTTACTGGATCTGGCAACCTCATACTGTGAAAACAGGCTGAAGAAGTTGTGCCAGCATATCATAAAGAGAGGAATCACGGTGGAGAACGCTTTCTCTCTGCTGTCTGCTGCCATCAGATATGATGCTGAGGTAACTCTAAACCACGCTGGAGGCCTGGCTTACCAGAGCACTTAAGCAGACACCTGTTTACCCGATAATATTGATTGTTCTTGCTCACTTGTTCAGTCACTCATAAATGCACGTTCATGCTTTCTTCCATGTGAAGGATCTAGAGGAGTTCTGTTTTAAATTCTGTGTGAACCACTTGACTGAGGTCACACAGACAGCTGCGTTCTGGCAGATCGACGGCAACATGCTGAAGGAGTTTATCTGCAGAGCCAGCCACTGTGGAGCCTTCAAAAACTGACTCTGACGGCCACCAGATACACACACACGCTCGGTGTATTAGTCAAGGAACCCATCTGTTACTGCAGCCAGTCCTCCTCGCAGCTAGTGAGCGCTGTGACACCAGACAGGCATTAACACACAGCGCCCCCTGTTGAGCAGGAGAGGAACTCTTTCATAATAGATAACATTCATGAAGAAGGGTCAATCAATGTCTGTCTCATGCACAACCATTTCGTACTCATCTGTTGCCGGAGATAGTCAGCCGGACGGACATTCCCATTCATGTTTTAGTCATATTGCCTTGTGCTAATAACAATTTCTAGTGCTGCAGATGGGAAGAGTGTTTTATTTAATAAAACAGAAGTGAGTATGGGCCAAACAGAGGCATAATTTAACTGTATTACTTAAACATACACCACTGAAAAGCAGACAAAGAGACTAATTCAATCTTTTTGTTTGTCCCTTACGCTTTATTGCACGGGTAATATTGAATAGAGGTCACTAATTAGATTTTTTTTTTTCTTGCAGTGATGCTGTGCATTACAAGTTGCTCTTTTTTTATTGTATTGTATTGGCTGGGATCTGTTAATGTGCATTCTATTGGATACAGTCAGCAGACCTTATTGATGTGGCCCCTTATGTTGTTGAATTATTGTTGTTTAAATGTTATTGACCAAAAGAATTTTTACTATCTGATGTTTTAGTTTTTTGCTTGATTTGAGTCTTAAAATGTAGGCCTTTTTTACAGATTAGGAAGACCACTGTCAGTTATCGCTTAGTTCAGGATCTGCGGCTGCTGCTGTTGCATTTAACCAGTCTGATGTTTAAGTTTGCTCAAATATAAAGAGTATTATAGTTGCACTAGTTGTTTCCTGTGCAGGAGCTGCTCATATAAGATCACTAGAGGGTGTATATGAATTTTTACAGTTGCACCTTTTTAATAGGTGTCAAACACTTAATAATACTAATGCCTATGGTAAGTTTTTTTTTTGTTACATATTAACCAACTGTATTTGTTTTTCACATGTATATACTGTACAGTTTTTGCATTAGTTTTGTAAATTAATCTGTGCACATTATGTGTGCCACAGTTTCTCTTGTAAGATTAAAAAAAACAAGATATTATAAAGATAAATAAAGCTTTTCTTATAGGTTGCATTGGGTATTTTTTAATTAAATGTTGTAAAAATGTATGCCAGCATATTCATTTTTTAAATATGTATCTGAATCGTGAATGAAATTTCATTACGCCTTTACTTAATTAACATTTTCATTTTAGAATTATACATTTAATATTATTATTTAATCATTTTATTAATTATTCCTTTGAGCATCAGCATTAATTCTTATAAATGCTACTCATTGATGTTCCTGAAATTCATCCTGTTGTTTAACTTCTCTTTAAATGAAACTAATGTTAATTATCGGAATTGTTAAATCCTTGTTTCGGGTAAAGAAGACCGCAGTGATTGTGAAGTCATTCTATGATGCCAGTAAATGTTCAGAAATGTAGACACACCCACCTAATTCACAGGTTTGGCTATTTCAGCTACACCCATTAGTGTAAACATTGAAATTATTATAAATTCATGCAATCTTCTTAGACAAATATTTTAAATAGAATGGAGTGTACAGTGGCTCAGTGTGCCACTGCTATGTCATCAGTGAAGTAGATTAGTGAGTCTATTGTGGAAGAATTTGACTGGTCTGCCCAGATCTGAAGACTGTTGTGAGTCAGACCCCAGTCTCCCAACATCACTGATGCTCCTGTGACTGCATGAGAGAAAATCCCTGCATCCATGATCCAGTATATTGTAAGCTGCTAGAGAAGATCAGTTGTCTATTAATGCTAATGAATGTAAAATGTACATTAGGCGGTTCCGGCTGTGGTGGTGTTTGGCTCTCCGCATGCTTTTCGTCTGTACGCTGTAATTAAATCAGATTTCTGGGGACTCGAAACAGGCGTGCCTTTAAGAACAGATGCCCCGCCCCCAGGTGACATCTGCGGAAGAGCACAGCGCGAAGGCGGGGGGGGCTGTTGTTGTTTGGGGCTGTTCAGTCAATGACAGGTCAATGCTGATCGCGGTTGAATGGCAGCACCGGACAGTCGGCGGTCTCACCGGGATTTCGAGGGAAACAGATCTATTCCAAACGGCGGGGAAGTGCGCAATGCGAGGGATAGCGGAGTTCAGACGGATGCCAAAGTACACGGTTAGATCAAGTTAGCCTGTCAGCGTCTGCTTATGGTAACCAGACCCCAGGACAGCTCAACTTTACAGTGTTGTTAAAGCCGCTTCTTCGTCAAAGCTGTTTCTCTTCTGCTTTTATGATGATTTTTGTCGTTAACTTATTTAATAGGAGGTTATTATGCATTTCATCAGGTCAGCAACTTAATTTTAAATCTTCAATTCAGAATTCATTCAGTCTATTCTAATTAGAATTCTGATAAGATTTTATGCTAACCGTTTCCTTATAGAGACCAAATTTTTTCTTTTATATTTTATCATCTGCTTTTTGATGCAGTGATTGAAAACTACGTCAATAAAAAAATACATTGATACTTATCCATCAAATCTTATTCTTAATCCGTCACTTTTGCATACATATAATATCATAACTACTACTAGCTGAAAAAATTATATTATAAAAAGAGTAATCATTATAATACAGCAATAAAATAATCATAATGAGTGTGTTATGTACTTACGTAAAAATGATTGAAACAAAAACTAAAAATTAAAACAAATGAAAAATGAATTAGCTCAATGTAAAATGTAACACATTGAACACCATGGTCTAATCGATTATTGGTATATCTCCATTGTTTGATTATCTCATAACATTACAAATTAGTAGCTTTTTGTTTAGTTATTTTTGCCACTAGTCTGTTCACAAAAATCCTATTTGATTGTTTCAGGTCATGGACCTCGACTGTCCAAAGCCAACCTCTTCACATTGTTGAGTCTATGGATGGAACTTTTCCCAAAGAAAGAACCACAGCAGCGAGAGAATGACACAGTAGGCATATTTTAATTTCCTCTAAAGCAATCGTGTGTGTTTTAAGGACAGAGCTTACATTAAAAGCCATTTCAAATGCAGATGAAGATATATTATTAAGAAAAATGTGTTACAAATGGTATCTACCCATGTAAAATGTCCTGATTTGTATTTATTCCTGTGAAGAAGAAAAAAACACTTTCTCAGTCTACAGCAGAATTATTATTGGAAAACGGTTTCCCACATGACAGAGTCCCTGTTGTGTGTATAATTACTCATGAGCTCTGAAGTATGAACTGGAAGGGCTGCTACATCCTATGACTCATTAGCTGTATGGATATATAAATAACGAGAGGTATTATATTTGGATCCAGGCTGGAGACAGTGGGCTTGTGGTGGTCCATGAGTGCAGGGTTCTGGGTCTGCATTGCTCCAGTGTGCAGTTACATGCAGGACAGGTGGCTGTGGTCAAACACGGACCCAGACTGAAGGGATGCGATCTCTACTTCTCCAGAAAACCCTGCTCCACCTGCCTCAAGATGCTCATCAATGGTAAGATCACACCTGCACTATGTCAGGATCATACTTGTCTATAACTATACTTCAATATAATATAACATAACTATACTTCAATATAAAATAACCATATATTTCATGTTTGTAACATTTTATATTTGACTGCCTATCTTGCCCCTTGTTGTTACCCTCTCTCTCATCTCTTTGTTCAGCTGGTGTGAGTAGGATATCATACTGGCCCGGTGATGCTGAGATCAGTTTGTTGTCAGGTAGACACAATCATACAGACTCCAGTCACCAGGAAGCCCTCTTAGATGCCACAGCTGGAGAGAGACTGAAGTCCAACAGCAGACCCCACATCTGTGTGCTCCTGCAGCCTCTGGACTGCACCATGCAGCAGTTCGTGGACGAAACTTCTCAAAACTGTGACTTCCTTGGGAAGATTGCTGCGGACAATCCAACTCTCGATGTTAAGGATATCTTTAGAAGGGAATGGTGGAACAACTTGGATGAATTCTTGGAGAAGTTCTTTATAAATGATGAGGAACAGCATAAGTATGTGCTGAACAAGATGGGACTGGAGAGCTTCTGTGCGGAACCAAATTTTAGCAACTTAAGGCAGCATATGAGGAATCTTGTTAGGATTCTGGCATCTGCCGCCGCAAGCGTTCCGGTTCTAGAAGAAGATTATGGGTTCTTCATGAGAGAGCCTTTAGGGACGGGTTCTCCAGCTTTACCTCAGGATGTGGTGCGACACTGTATCATACAGGCCCGATTACTGGCGTGTAGAACAGGTGAATTCTGTTCAATTAGATTCATTTGCTCGACTAATTGACATCAAAATGTTCAGCTGTTATCAAAAATACACAAATCAAGAAACCAGAAGCAATGGCAGAAAGTGAAAACAGCATGAATCTACAGAAATCAGTAGTTAAAGGTGCAATAGGAGATCTTGGAAAATGCTAACTTTAGCCTGAAAGCACTGAAAGTCAACATCCCACCCTCCCTGCAATCGCCATCCAAAGCCACGCCCCCTGAACGCATTTACGCTCACAGACCAGTGACAACATTACTACAATAGGCTACATCAGGTTCCCAATTCCAGCCCATGTTCCGAAGTGAAGTAAACTTCAATGGATTTCCCCCGCTCAGAGTAGGGAGCAATGAACACTGTGTAGGGATCATATCGATCGGAACACAGTTCATGCACGAAGCTCACTTCTAACGAGCTGGCGTGAGGACTAGATTAACCGCTGGGCTACATCATGTGTCATTCAGCGGTGAGAAATCTTTAAAAGTACTACAATACCAGGAAGGAAGATCGCGTTGTTGATGTTTGCCTGCCATCCTCGCTCTGTCTGCACAGCGTGCGTGAACGCGCTGATGACGTATCCTGTCTGCGCGAACTGGGTGCGCAGAGGTATGCTAATACATACGTTGACAGGCAGGTAGGAAAGCATATTAAAACGCTCGAACCGAGCGTTTTGATTGGACGAACATTTCTTGATCCTACGCTTTCCACAGAATATATAAATACAGACAAATACATTTAGACCACTTAACTTAATGATTGCTATCAGGATGTGAAGAGACTTTCAACCAGCATAACAAAAAATGTGTCTGAAGAAAATCACCTATTGCACCTTTAATTGGATGGAGGCAGATCTGAAAGTCGATTGTAAAATGGGATGGGATTTAAGCAGACTAAATGATTGGAGAAGCCCAACATACATACAATGTTGTTTCAATGGAAAGTTGAGACTTTTAGATTAAAAATCAACTTTGGCACTAAGGGCTCATAAAAATAAAGAAAAAACAATGCATTGATAAATCGTTGACAGAAAGATTGATGATGCGTTTAGAAAACAGATAAAGTGAATTTTCATTTCAAGCCAACTTCAAGCCATTTGTACGTTGAATTTGTGATGTAAATGTAAACTTTGATTTTATTTTTTTTTTTAAATATGACGAGAATTTACAAAATAGCAACACAATTACCAACAGGTTGGAAATAAAGTGCTAAAGTTAGTCAATGCTCAGCGAGGAATTGATGGTTAGCTTACCAGAGGGTGACAGATAATTGTAGTATTTTTAACTCTTTCACTGTCAGCTGTTTTTAAAAAATTTTTTATTTGTTGTCATCTTTTACCAATTTCACAACATTTCTGGGCCAGATGTTCAGTGCTTTTTCAGGAAATGCTTAATAGCACCTCCTACCGTATAACAGTGAAAACTCTGAAAGCCGGAAAAGCCTTCAATGGTGGGGAAGCGTCTCGTAAATGACAGCAAATGCTGTCAATGGTGGGGAAAGAGTTAACCATATTTTGAAATCTTAATAATACCATTATGAGTACTTTATCTAACAGTATGCAAAGTCACAAAGTGAGACAGCCCAACTAGTCCATTGCTAATGCTGTTGTTGTTTTCCTGCCAAAATGATATAATTTCCTGGAGGATGATGTAAGGGTGCAAAGTTAAAATGTTTTCTTTTTTGTGTGTGTGTGTGCTGTTTCTTTATGTAGAGGATCCTAAATTGGGAGTTGGTGCAGTTATTTGGGCTGAGGGAAAACAGGTGAGCCAAAAACATAAAACATGACTTTGAATTTATAAATGTATTTAAAGAAAACCTCTCTTATTTTCTCTTCTTATATTATCTTCTGTTTTAAACTATCTCTAGGCGCAATGTGATGGCACAGGTCGGCTTTACCTAGTGGGCTGTGGGTACAACGCCTATCCAGTGGGCTCACAGTACGCAGAGTATCCCCAGATGGATCACAAGCAAGAGGAGAGACAGAACAGGAAGTACAGATACATCCTCCATGCGGAGCAGAACGCGCTCACATTCAGGTGAGACTCATGGGAAGGAGCAGAGCGGTCAGAAGAAGAGTTGGCAACAACAACAACTGTTCATCAGCTCACGCTGCAGATGTGCTATGTTTTATATGCACTGACTGTAATTGGAAGAACTGAATATCAGGCCATTCGAATGTTCAAAGAAAATAGTTCATTCATGCTTCCCTCCAATCTGCAGGAGCACAGAGATAAAAGAGGACAACACTATGATGTTTGTGACCAAATGCCCGTGTGACGAGTGTGTTCCTCTGATCAGCTGCGCTGGAATAAAGCAGATCTACACCACAGACCTGGACAGCAACAAAGTCAAACATGACATCTCCTACCTCAGGTTCGACAAACTCAACGGCGTCCAGAAGTTCATTGTAAGTGCAGAGTGAATTATGATTATGATAAATTATGAACTTCGAAAAATACCACACCAGTTGTATTGATGTACTTTGATTTTTTCTTATTTTATTTTTGTTTTACATTTATGATAAAAAAAAGAATATATAAATAACAGACATATTTCTTATTTTCCAGTGGCAGCAGAAATTATCTGCTAGACATATGTCAGAACAAGCTGCACCGCCCACAGCAAGTAAGTGTTTCTGTGTCTCAATTAAAAAAAACAAGTTTCTCAGTAACTGGATGGGGGAAAAAGCAGCTATTTTTCTAAACCCATTATTTATTAGTACCAAAAATCTTTTTTTCTTTAGTGAAGTGTCTAATTAGTGTTGTAGTTCAGATTTGTGGGTATTTATTATATTTTTGTAAATCAAAATAAACATTTCAGGTTAAAATGTATAAGTGAAAATATAAAATGCAAGGTCCTGTGTCTGCTCACCATGTTTTCCTTCAGTAGCTCACTGAATATAATAATTGGATTTAAATGGTCTTGTGGTATGACAAAGGAAATTTTAAAAGTATATTCAAATATTCTGAGTACTCCATTATATACTATATGTTCAAACATTCAGTCTGAGTTTCTTAAAAGCTGCATGAATAATTAGATGGTATATAGCATGTGACACCTGCTATATTTATTATTATTATTTTGCAGATGGCTACATGAAACGAAAAGAGGAGGAAACGAATTTTCAGTGCAATAAGAGACTGAGATCATAGAAGACGTTTCGAAAGCTGCTCTCCTGCCATGCTGGCAGCAACAGATGATGTTCAAATGCTATTTAACCTGCCATACTCATGCAGCATCTTACCATTACAATACAGCATAAAAGAGGGACGATGTTTCATTAGTTTACTAGGACAGCCTGTTCAAAGTTTCATTATATGCATTTTAGAAACGGGATTTGTGTTGAAAACTTGGGTTTTAAAACTGCACAAGTTTATTGCACACAATACGTTTTTAAATGTTTCAAATTGAAGGGATAAGCAGAACTGTCCATCATGTGTTCACACAATATATTACTATTTAAATTTGTTCTTAATTTACAAAGTGTAAAATATATACAGTACCCAATGTCCTTTTTTCTTTGCGAAAAAAAAGTCAACGATGTTGCTAATGCTTCAGTTGGTCTTTATTGAAATGGTACTATTAGCATTTCAGATGGAAACTGCACCTGTATGTGTAGTAGGAAAAATTGAAATTCAAATTTTGAACATGTTTTGGCATCTTCAATGTAACTGCTGACAAATATATTGAATAAATTTGGCTTCATGCGAATAATTTGAAAATAGTTGCTTTAGAGTACAAATGAATTTGTTTCACACGGTGAGTGATGGGTCTTAACCACCAAAGCATATTTCATCCCATAAACCTAAAGGCGATCGCAATAAAACAATCAATGTACTATAGAGGAAAAAAGAATGAAATTTAATGAATTTTCTTCAACAGCATAACTCAAATATAGTGAGTTAAAGAGGTTCATTGCTTAATAAAGCTAAATATGCTCAATGAGAACATATTCAAAACAATAAAAAGAAATTAAGCTCCCCCTTCCAAAATTTCTTCTCAAATAAAAAAAATGAGCAAAATAGTAAATGAACAACTCAAGAACAAAAGGCACCTGTTTGTACATTTGTGTCCTCATTTCATCTTGTTTTTCAACTATGCAACAATCTACTTCTGTCAAAATCATCAAAGACAGATGAATCATGGGTTATAGCACGAAATATACTACAGTAAAAGGTATACAATAGTACAGAAATGAATATTATACTACAACTGCACTACAGTATAAAAAGTACTTTAGTATGATGTACTAAAGTTAAGAAATACTATAGCACTAGGGTTACTATAGTATAGAGCATACAATAGTAATACCACAGCACTATAGCTATACCTCACTGATCTACAGGAAATCTACGAGTTGGAATATACACTGGTTCACTTAGTGCCAAAGTTGATTTTTCAAGATTCTTCTAAAACGGCAACCACCTTGAGAGTAAAATCAGCGCTTGTCTTTTTTAAAATGTAGGTAAACATCAAATAAAAATATATAAAAACAAAATAGCAATGCTTTCTGGTGAGAGAAACGGCCTGGCAGCAACTCAGAATGTACATGAAGACCCACAGATGCTCTTTCTGTTTCAGCTCAGATAAACAATCATTAAAATACTGATAAATGAATTCATCCTTCTAAATAATTCTTATAAAACACGAACAGAATAAAAAGAACAGGGAGGAAATCATCAGGTTTGTAGTGTTCGGGCGAATGAGAAAGGCCATGAAAAGATTAGTGCAGTTACAAGTCATCAAGAGAAAATCAACAGCTCATAATTAATCTTTTGGGAATTTCACCTCTTTTCCAGCAATATCCAAACAACACAATCTCTTCTAGCATAGCGAAACTGCCGTGTTGTGGCGCTGTTGGTACCATGGAGAACGTAGAGTGTCCATGCTCGCGAAAAACACCCGGAAACGGAAAATGAAAGTTTACCTGTACTTCCTCATCTGCACGGTGTCTTGATGTTCTTAGATGGTTCTTCCCATAACTCAAACTGGCTGATTCTTACTTTTAAAACATCCTATCATGGCACAAGAGATTGCAATAAAACATGAAAGGAAGAAAAAGAAAAGCAAATAAGAACAGAGAACATCAATGATCCGGAACTTTCTTTTGTAAGCATCAGAACTAAGAAAAGACACGTTTTTCAAGATTTTAAATAGAATTATTATTGTTAATATATTTTTTGTGTTTTTTGTTTTTTTTCCTTAATACTGCAATAGCTAGAGTTTAGGAGGCTGGCTTCTTTAGGTCTCGTATTTGTTTGACGAGGTACGTCTTTTCGTCGTTAAACTGCTCGTCGTCTGTGCGATCCTTCTGAAAGTTGCTAAGGAAGTCGATGAGTTTCGTTTGGTTCTTCAATAGAATGTCTACGATGGGCTGTGTTTTATTTGGATTGGCCACAAACACCTGAAGAAATGCACAGAAAAAAATTAAGATTAAGAAAGAAAAAAAGATTAAGATAAGTTTCAATACATTTGTTAAATTCATAAAAATTTTGATTTTTTTTGCTTATTTCAATTTGTTCCTCACACAAATCTATCATATTGCCTTTAGATAATGCATATCTCATATAAACCACAATTTTGATCATTTTTATGGTGCTTTCCCCCCTTTTGGAGTTGACAGTGTGACATTTTTCATGCAAGGTGAAGAAGTGGGGAAAAAAAACTGGTATAGGAGATCATGATCCGCACTCACGAAAACAGTCGCCTTTTTTCATTTTATTTTACATTCATCGTTGATGGGAAAATAACAAACGTTTTCGGCTCAAAGCCTTCCTCAGTGTGCAAAGCAATTCAATCCCTCCACCCACTTTTCAAATGACTAATTATATTGACGTCATCATTCATTTGCCAATGTCCATTAAATCATTTCCATTTAAATACTAGACAATTTTCATGTATATACACAACACAGATCATCACCTCCACTAGTACACCACACAATATATCCGTGATTAAAACAAAAATGATCTAGGATCTTATATTTATCACTATTATACAATCTTGTAATTTAAGTAAACAGCCATTAGTATCTACTCCACCAATTGACTTTAAAATGTATAACAATGGAAAATTCAATGAATCAAAATATCAGAAATACATCGTCATAAACAATCATTGTTTTTCACACTGTTGATACTCAAGATTTACTGTACAAAATATTATTGATGAATTCGACCAATTATAGTTCATTAAAGGAAGACAGAAAGATCTAACTCCTCGTTCATGCCATTTGGGGTCAGTGATTTAAGTTTATGAATCTAAAAATGCTTCTCGTTTCAATAGTTCTTTATTTATATTACCTCCTCTATGTGACCCAAAAACTTCCTCTCTTCCTATACATTCCAATTGCTTGATGTCGTGTCCAAATTCATTTGAAATGTCTCGCTACTGAAGAGGTTGTCTTGTCGTCGTATACTAGATTATTGGATGATTATTTGACCAACTTTGTTGATAGCCTTTAGAATAAAATAGTTGAAATAGCAATTTTACCTGTTCATCAAATTCATGTGTAGTACTACAATTACATTTTAATCTATGCAATTGGATAATCGGTAAACTATGTTTTAAAGGAGCTGGATGATAACTGTCAATAGATATTATAATATTGTTTTTATCTGTTGGTTTTCGAAATACTGTTGTTTGTAAATGACTCATTGATCTTTGTATCTTTCACATCCAAAAAATGTATCGAATCACGACTTTCTTCCATTGTAAATTTAAAGGTGGGGTAAGCAATTTCTGGTAGCCAATGTTGACATTTGAAATCTATTTCTATTTTATCTCGCTTCTCGCGCGATAAAATACTATAGAACTCATTATAATCAGTGATGCGGTCTACACCATAGATATAGCCTAGATACATACGTATCTATGGTCTACACTGGATGCGGCATGACACGACAAATCCCCGACAGAAAACTGCTGCTGCGTTCTATTCATGACGTATTCAATTTCTGGTAGCCAATGTTGACATTTGAAATCACCAAAACAAACATGCCCCTATTTTGATAGCTCCGCCCAACACATACGTACGCAACCCAGGCAATGATTAGTTCTGTGAAACAAAGTTAAACCAATGTTACACCGTGTCTACACCGGGCGCGATAAAATACTATAGAACTCATTATAATCAGTGATGCGGTCTACACCATAGATATAGCCTAGATACATACGTATCTATGGTCTACACTGGATGCGGCATGACACGACAAATCCCCGACAGAAAACTGCTGCTGCGTTCTATTCATGACGTATTGACACAAATTTCTAATGATTTTCAACGGTCGTTTTGTCGCATCCAGTGTACTAGACAGACTTTAGCTGTTGTGGCGCAGACACAGTGTTACTCGCCTATCGAGAAGAAACAAAGCAACCTCGGCGTCCGATCGCAGGCCTTCTGCTCCTTGAGTTCTCTCCAGCGCTGGAAAGCTGATTCGATATTTACACGGGTCCTACTTCTTGCCTTAAGCCTTCTTTTGTTCTGCAGACTTTTTCATCTTTTGTTTTTTATCCGCCATCTCTATCTTTCTGTCGCTCAGCTCGGCTAATGTCCGTCCTGTGCACTGAACGCTCTCGCCTCCACATCATGAGTAGACACGCTACTTACTGCTGATTGGCTACAAGTTTGTTTTGCTAGTTGGCTCCAATCAGTTTTCTAAAGCGTTTTTGAAAAATCGGATTAAAATTTTTTTTAAGTAATAAATGGCACAAATAAATTAATTCCTTTCAGAACCTTTTTTGTTGAATAGTCAAAGTTAATCGTTAATTAATGCTGATAAAGCTTCTCTTTGCACTCTTGTTAAATGTTTTAGCTTATACAATTTATTACGAGGTTCTTGTAATAATTTTTCCACATTGTTTTCTACAAGCTTTCAAAAAGTATTCACTGAATGAGCAATATCACTCGAGTACGAGAGCGATACCGGCTCTACAGTGGGTACGGAAAGTATTCAGACCCCCTTAAATTTTTCCAGCATGGCTGTGATTAGGCCAGAGGCACGAGGCCACAGACTGAGTGCCGGTACAACGGTTTGCCGGAACATGTGTGCAATTAAACAAGAAACAACGGAGTGCCTAATAAAACCCTCTTTTGTGCGGAACTACTTCCTTCCGCCACGGATTCAAAGCTCAAGTTGACAGTTAAACATACGTCACTTTTAGAATTCGTATCAAGGACATGAGCTGCTTCAGTTAGGTTATTAGTGAGAAATAATGAGGTTATAAGAGAGAAACAATGCGGCAAGACGTGCATCCAAATGAGAGAGAGACCGCGAAGCTAGACGTTTCTTCTTATATTAACTAACGTACTCTACGATTAGCTCAGTGAATAATAATAAAAAAAAAAACATAGACCCGGCTAGAACAAGTGGAGTGATACAAAATTGTGAAAGGGCGTTCCTGTAGCGATACCAGTACAATATCTCATGGTTCTCAACCAATCAGATTTGAGAACCAGAACGAACTGTTGTATAGATGATTATAAACTATAATGTGTGGATCATGATCTCCTATACCAAGTATTTTAACATTGATGCACCAATATAAAAGGATTAAGTGACGGAAGAGCACGGTGCAACCGGCGTTGTAGAAAAAAATTGGTGCCACCATTTTTTGAAAGAATAAGGTGTACCTTGAAGACATGGAAAGCCTCAAACTGAATGTTGGGGCTCTTGTCTCTCAGGAGGTTCATCATGAGCTTCAGGTTCTCTGGTTTACTGATGTACCGTGTCATGACTGTGAAGTTGTGTCTGTCCAGGAGCAGTTCACCCAGCAGCTGTCACATAACACAAACACGTGATGTTAATGACAGGACAGGCTAGAGAAGACAAAAATCAATGTCACAACACACACCTTCAACGACTGTCTCTTGGTCACGTAGTTCTCAGAGTGAAGCAGTTTCTCATAGTTATCAAAAACCTGGAAGATCAAGGACAGCCATATAAAATGTTAGTTTTCCTAGATTCTATGATAAACATTAACCAAAAAAATTTATATATTACCGCGTCATAGTTCTGTTCTAAAAATTCCGCCACCAGAACCTTGTGTCTTGTGAGCAGATCCTGTAAAAAAAAAAAAAAAAAAGTGCAATGAGTACCATTTGACAAATCATTTATGTAACAATTAATGTGTTAAATAAAAAAATAAATATAGCACTTACCTTGAAGGTGGCAAACGCGTCAGAGGCGATGTCAAATGTGGACATCTCCACATAGCTGAAGAAATCTTTAAAGTGTTCAGAGTGGAGGACGATTTTGGCGAGAGGTTCATGCCGGATGCACTCACGCAGCATAATCCCACAATTCAATGCCACCTGAGGAGTCTCATACCTGCCACAGCACCACAGCAGAAATGCCAAGTTCACATTAACGTGAAGCCATGTTCAGGGAAACAGAACTTCATGATTTTGGATCTATTCCACGTTTGGTCTTCTGATCTTGATTTTAGAGCTAAACTTGCTAAAATGAATAGATGGTTTCTGATGGACTGATGGAATGGAAATAGCGCCGTGGACATTTCAAAGCTTTTCCAAGCCAGCAGTTTCAAAGTAACATGCTTACGTGCTACATTTCAAAAATACCCATCATCTCTCACCCTTTGAGTAAGATGAAAAGAACTTCCTGATGAGAGCAGAAATATTCCACCGTTGGGCTGCGGGTCCCGATCTGCCTGCGCAGGATGTTGTTGAAGATCTGACAAACGTCCTTTTTACCCTGTGAACACACATAGACAATGCTATTATACCAATTATTACAATCATAAATAAAAAGATAAAAGAGAACAAGCAGTATCCTCACCTCAAAATCGATGACCTGCAGGTTTTCCACCAGTGAGATGAGCAGGCCGCTGTTGTAGAGCTCTTGGGCCAGTTGGGCCACCGTTTCTGTGTGTGGCTCCTTGTCGTTAGTGCCGTACAGGATCTCCTTCATCGCCACCAGACATTTCGACGCCTCCTCTGAAGCCTGACAAACACACAAAAATCACTTTAATCACTACAAAACATGGTGATAACTCAATACATTTCCACACGTGTGTGTTCAGAGCATATGGCATCAATGCTGCATATTGCTCTGAACAGCTAAAGGGATTCTGGGTAATTTCACACGTAAGCTCATTATACAAAGAACATCATTAGCTATTTATCAGCTGCTGAAACAGCTCGGTTTGAAAGTGTGGAGGTATCGTGGAGCATTGGATTTCCCTCCAGCTGGAAGAGTCCTAGGCCCCCAGAGGTTCCCAGCACTTCAAACGCTTGACTTTAACACTGGGCTGCTGAAAAGAACCTTAGCGGGCAGATGAAAATGAGCAAGAGGTCGGGCAGTGGAGTGATATTCCCACCTCTCCGACATCTTTGTACTCACAGCACAAACATGAGCACTTCCAGGAACCCAAACTCTTGCTCATTTGGGTCTCTTAAGGATGTGCTGAAAATGGGGTTCATATTCAGCAAATTGAGCCACTTATTGACATTGAGAAAAATGTAAGTTAGCTTAAAAAAAAAAAAAAGGGGGTTACCTCCTAGAATCCACTGTTCCTGTTGGAAATGTCCTGTTCCTCCACCAGTCAGCAGCTGCTCTTTGATCATATTCCCTTCATACTGGTGCTGCGTCTGACATATTTAACTATATTTACAAAATTAATGATTACATAAAGCATAGCCTATCTAGTTTGATAGCACCTTCTGTAAAGAGTACTTCTGAGAAACTACTCTAAAATGTTTTGAATTTACTGATCATACTAGTCTTGGTCCACTCCGCAATCTAGGTGTGTTTAAAGACTTACAATAATTCACTATGCAAACACTGCCAGAAATAAAATCAAGACCTGTCCCACCTCAGTCATAACTGCAACAAATGCCACCCTCACCTCACCCGCATTTACCATCACAATATCACCTTAACCATCAAAAGGCCCATTACTGCGGAATGTCACATGACCACATTTATTTAGCAGTGAGTGAACAGGTCTTCTATTTGCTGTGTGACAGTGTTAGGAATTTCATATAGTCCTCGACAAGGAAAAAAAGAAGCTCCACCTTTGTTTACTATCTGTAAATACCACCTTCTCCATGGAAGAACTCACTCTGTAACACATAGACTACATCATTCATACAACAGAGAAACCCTTGTGAGAGCCAGATGGTGATGAGAAACCAGTGAGAATTACTCCAAAAAATAAAAATAAAAATAATTATTCATCTATTTGTCAAGACAATTACTATACAACACAAAGGCAGTGATATTACTGGTAATTAAAACAATATTTTTGCACTGGAATAGGGTAGAAAATGGCCACATTTATGAAAGAGTATAATAAATGTGGCAGAAGGACTAACAGGGTTGCAAATTTAGTCAAAAGTAAGCTGTCAGTCAATTTGTGATTGACAAAAATAGGGTTGTGCTTTTTGATAAAATGATATAACTTCAACAAATTTGCTGACAGTTGAATGATTGAACTTTAACACTAAGGTCAATGCATAATATATATACTACTACAACTAATATATATATATATATATATATAATTTATTTTATACACATTTAAATATATAATTTAAATGTTATTTTATTCAATATTATTAATTAAATTATTTTATTTATTGCCAAACAACATAGTTGTTCTGGAATTTCTTGGTGAGCTCAAACACAACTAAGACACTTAGTAAGACAAAAAAACAAACAAACACATTCGTACATACATACATTAATTATTCCAACCATTATAAAGAATGAAATACAGACGCATAAATGCCAGAGTTTAAAACATGGACCATCCTATAATAGGTACGGTTCAAAAAGCGTGCAGACTTAGAATTTATTAATTTATGCACTACCAAGTTAGTCAAATTAAAAAAAGTAGGGACACAGCTAAACATATTTTGGTCATTTAAATTTATATACATATTGTGACGAGTGGGGCGGGGCTGAGAGCTGTGGGAATGGAGCGAGGCTGTTGAGTGAATGATACTGAGCGACACCTCCGCCACTCACCGGTCTCAAGTCTCACGGAGGAGCTCCGGAAGAATAAAAGGAGGAGTGACGACAGTGCAAGACGAGAGAGGACCGGGCCTGGACTTTATGTTGTTTTGTTTCTGTCTGTGCGCCTATTTTTCACCGAAGTTTCTTGTGCTCATCAAGGATGTATTTATTTGATCAAAATACTGAAAAAACCCTGTTATTTTGTGAAATATTATTGCAATTTAAAATAACAGTTTCTATTTTAATATACTTTAAAATATAATTTATTCCCGTGATGCGAAGCTGAATTTTCAGCATCATTACTCCAGTCTTCAGTGTCACATGATCCTTCAGAAATCATTCTAATATGCTGATTTATTATCAATGTTGGAAACAGTTGTACTGATTCATGTTTTTTGGAACCTGTGATACTTTTTCAGGATTCTATTATGAATATAACATTTAAAAAAAAACATTTATTCAAAATGGAAATCTGGTTTCAATACACACTACCGTTCAAACGTTTGGAGTCAGTAATTTTTTTTTCTTTCTGTTTTTGAAAGTAATGAATACTTTTATTCAGCAAGGATATGTTACATGGATAAAAGGTGATAGTAAAAGACTCATATTGTTAGAATTTTTTTTTATTTTAAACAAATGCTGTTCTTTTTAACTTTTTATAAAGAATACAGAAAAAAGTGTTTCAAAATGTTTTATATATATATATATAAATATATATAAAAAATATGAAGCAGCGCACAACTAATGGTTGTGCAACTGATGATAAATCAGCATATTAAAATGATTTCTGGAGGATCATGTGACACTGAAGACTGGAGTAATGATGCTGAAAATTCAGCTTTGATCACAGAAATCAATTATATTTTAAAGTATATTAAAACAGAAAACCAATATTAGAAATTGAAATATCTCACAATATTAGGTTTTTCTGTAGTTTTGATCAAATAAATACAGCTTTGATGAGCAAAAGAGACTCCATTAAAAATCTTACTGATCCCAAAAGTTTGAACGGCAGTGTACACACACACAGCTCAAAAAAAAACTTTGAAAACATATCAGATCTCAATGGAGAAAAGGGCTGAATTCAAAGACACCCTAAAAATCTAAGTGAAAAAATTATGCACAGGCTAGTCCCTTTTGCTGAAATTTCGTTGCAGCAACTCAAAATGGTATTCAGTAGTTTGTATGGCCCCCACATGTTTGTATGCATGCCTGACAACATCGTGGCATGCTCCTAATGAGAAGACAGATGATGTCCTGGGGTATTTCCTCCCAGATCTGGACCAGGGCAACACTGAGCTCCTGGACAGTCTGAGGTGCAACCTGGCGGCTTCGGATGGACCAAAACATAATGTCCCAGAGGTGTTCTATTGGATTTAGGTCAGGCGAGCATGGGGGCCATTCAATGGTATCAATTCCTTCATCCTCCAGGAACTGCCTGCATACTCTCGCCACATGAGGCCGGGGATTGTTGTGCACCAGGAGGAACCCAGGACCCAATACACCAGCGTAGAGTCTGACAATGGGTCCAAGGATTTCATCCTGATACCTAATGGCAGTCAGGGTGCCATTGTCTAGCCTGTAGAGGTCTGTGCGTCCCTCCATGGATATGCCTCTCCAGACCATCACTGACCCACCACCAAACCGGTCATGCTGTTCTCCACGACTTCTCCAGACCCTTTCACGTCTGTCACATGTGCTCAGGCTGAACATGCTCTCATCTGTAGAGCACAGGGCGCCAGTGCCGGACCTGCCAATTCTGGTGTTTAATGGCAAATGCCAATCCAGCAGTTTCTGATTGTTTGGTCAGAGACATTCACGCCAGTGGCCTGCTGGAGTTAATTTTGTAGGGCTCTGGCAGTGCTCATCCTGTTCCTCCTTGCACAAAGGAGCAGATACCGGTCCTGCTGTTGGGTTAAGGACCTTCTACGGCCCTGTCCAGCTCTCCTAGAGTAACTCCCTGTCTCCTGTAATCTACTCCATGCTCGAGACTGTTCTGGGAGACACAGCAAACCTTCTGGCAACGGCACATATTGATGTGCCATCCTGGAGGAGTTGGACTGCCTGTGCAACCTCTGTAGGGTCCAGGTATCACCTCATGCTACCAGTATTGACAGTAAGAATAGATGAGTAGGTAAAAAAATGTCAGTGGCCTCCACCTGTAAAACCATTCCTGTTTTGGGGGTCGTCTCATTGTTGCCCATCTAGTGCACCTGTTGTTGATTTCATTAACACCAAAGCAGCTGAAACTGACCAGATCAATATCCCAGGAGTTTAATTGACTTGATGCTATAATCTGATTAAAATGTGTTTCTTTAATTTTTGTGAGCAGTATATTATATACAGTGGGTACGGAAAGTATTCAGACCCCCTTAAATTTTTCACTCTTTGTTATATTACCACAAAACCATAAAGTCATAAGGGTCAATAAAAGCTGATATAAAGCTGAAAGCTGAATAAGCTTTCCATTGATGTATGGTATGCTAGGATAGGACAATATTTGTGCGAGTTACAGCCATTTGAAAATCTGCAATCTGAGGGTGCAAAAAAAATCTAAATATTGAGGAAAATCGCCTTTAAAGCTGTCTAAATGAAGTCCTTAGCAATGCATATTACTGATCAAAAATTAAGATGATATATTTATGGTAGGAAATTTACAAAATATCTTCACGGAACATGATCTTTACTTAATATCCTAATGATTTGTGGCATAAAAGAAACATCGACCTGTGCAATGTATTTTTGGCTATTGCTACAAATAGACACGTGCTACTGAAGACTGGTTTTGTGGTCCAGTGTCACTATATATTATATATATAATCTAAAACATCTTAATTAAAGGTAATACAATTAAAGGTAATACAATTAATTAACAATTAATTTAATATCTCTTAATAAACATGTAATCAGCAAATTATATCATTAATTTTGACACCGTTGTAATAGTTTTCCCAAACAAAAACCTTTTTTTTTTAATTATTATTTGTGGAAAGAGCTTTACAGACTCCACATTATTCCATTACAAAAAAATAAGGTTAAATGTGTGCCATTTATAACGTCAGTCGTCAGATTTCTGTGACAGAAGTTCTAAAAGCTGCCTATCAAGCCTATATGGAGCCATCTGACAGAGTTTGGTGTTGTGTAGAATCGTGCTGAAATGCATGTTTGAATAGAGTGAACAGGCCCTCTGGTGCATGATCCGCGTGTGTTTGTACAGAACTGAGTGAACGGGCCTTGCAGTGGTGTGATCTGTTTCAGGCCTGTTCACTCAATTCAACACAAACAGCAGCAGAACTACAGCGTGACAGCGCGCGAGCCGCTCACAATGTAACACGCGAACAGAACGACGCAGAACAGAACAATGAAACAGTTCAGACGCACGCGGCTCAAACACTCAGCCTGTCCGCCCGGTTACCAAAAACAAGCCCGACATGCGGAAAACTGGGCGTACGTTTAGCTTAATCTCGTGCGACACCAAAATAAAAGACACGCAGCTCAATGTTGAGAAATCTGAGCTTTGAAATCCACCAAACGTTTCTGTAAGGTGTGAAATGTTGAATACTTACAGTGCTGCGATGTAATTGTGTCTTCCGCGGCTGCTGTGACTCTGTGTGTGTCAGCGAGCAGCAGACTCTGTGTGTGTGTGTGTGTGTGTGTGCGCGCGCGCGCTGGGCTAAACGTCAGCGGAATGTGTGCATAAGCGAATTAAACACTGACTGACTCAAACGCGTATATCTGAAAAAGACATGATGGGTTTGTAGCACAAACTCGCTGTCGGGTGTCTTTCCGCGGTTGAAGGATGATCTGGGATCGGTCCCGTGTCCGTCGGTGGCGGGTTGGTGTGTGCTGCGCGAGCTGATCTCAGGTCAGATGCAGACTGGCGCTTCCTCCCTCACTGAGGCGAGGCGAGGCGTCGTGTTACCCGGATGTGGATGTGTTCAGACTGTATTATGAAGAGATACAGGCTAAAATAAGTGCATGACTCATGATTTTGAATCACGACGTTTTAAACTGTAGACATTTCCTTGACAAACCCGAGCAGACAAAAGAGGATAGAATGTTTCAGTGAAGTTTATTTAAGCCCAAGCACTTTAAATTCATTCATCTCATACATCCTCTTAGATACATATTTACACATGTACACAGATACACGTCTAATACAGGAAAAGATTGAGAGGCAAAACTAACATGCAGCAATGTGCCACATAAAATTTAAATAGAAATGAACAATGATTTTTGTATTACTGAACATGTTAAAAAGACAACATATAGTTATGGGGACATGAACATTTAAGCACAGTAAGGCTGTGGTCATCTAACTTGTCAGAAATGATGGCTTGATTGAATCCGCTGATTTGAAGAATGTTGATATAGATGAACATTGTCAAGCTGTGAGAAATACTTATTCGACATTAAAATGCGTCTTACAAAAGCTGAATGATAGTTACATGCCAATTATCACTTTCCAGACATGACATTTTGAACGAACCAAATCAAACAATCTGTGGTGACAAAATTAATTACATAAAATGTGAACACAATTGGTACGTTTTTTTTTTCAGTTGCAATAATTGTACATGAATGGTGCAGAACAGTAAAGTGACAAATACAATGAAATACATTTCATTGACACACAACAATAGTGGTCATAATATACAATATGTATATATACATATATACTGTTTTAATGAAAAACATGAGATAAAAGTTATCTGTACAAATCTTCTTTTACAGGAAATAATTTAAACTATACAGCTGTTTTAGATTAATACATACAGTGAATAACAGGACTTTTCAGCAGGCATAACCTCAAGAATCTTTATTGTATAAAACATCATTTCATTGTCTTGCTGCTACAGCAAATCAGACAGAAGCTTTAGACGCCAACAAAGTCAGACATTCCAAAAAGACACTGATATTCTCAACGCAAGATCAATAAAACCAGTGGAAGCTCATGTGGTTATACATTAAAATCCAATGAGAGTCCTTGTTATGTATATTGAAAGACTTTTAAAACCGCAGGCTGCTCTGATGTTAATGCCGACTCTACCAAGAGCCCTTTTCTCTTTTAATCTTTGAGGAAATGCATGCAGACGTGAAACAAACAGCATCACACTGATACTTTCAAAGTAAAGGAGAATTTCCACGGGGAACAGCAGACACTGAATGACCTTTTTTCTCTCTCTTATGAAGGAGAGAAGGTTGAGAAAGTGTGACGCTCTATATAAAATATCCTGAATAGCGCATATTGACCGCAGAGGTCAATTCCTTTCTCGGGTGACGAGGTTAAATACAGTACAAAGACTCGAGGAGCTTCAGTAGAAAGTGCACTGTGTAGGAGCTGCCACAAGGCAGTGGAGCAGCGGCTTCAGGCTTTGATGTCTGAGAAGCTTGTGTAGGTTTCACTGCAGCTGGAGGATGTGCTGAGGTTTCCAGACCCACTGCCTTCTGTGGGAAAACATTCGTTCATAAAATGAAGATTTCATGACAGGGATTTGTAGTGTGGTGGAAGGAAAGCGGGAAGTTGTGTTACCTGAGCTGGAGAGGGATTGAGAAGATTTGGATTCTCCGATGAGAGTGAGCAGGTTTGCAGCAGGGACCCAGCCCTCCTTATTGGTCCGCAGATTACGTACAAACCTGAATCAGCACAAAAACATTGATATCACACCAGCCTCTGCTTACAGAAAACATTATGTGATTCTTATTCGGTCGTCTTATAAAAACAAACAAAAAAATGAGCCCAGACAATAATGTACGAGTGAAATTTACTTGTCATCCATAACAGATTACAACACTCAAAATACCAAAATGGATCTAGATGTTAAAATAATTGTGGGCAAAAAACAACAACAACACAAAAACAGTTCGAGGGGGCCACAAGATGACTTAAAATTAATATACTAAAATAATCTACCTATATAAACTAAATGCTAAAAAACACATAAAATCAAGATTGAAAAATCATTTTCATTTGCCTTCAATAACTACTGATGTTACAGAAGAACTAAAGTTCTGGAATGCAGAACATATCATCGGGAATCACAAGATGAATCATGGTCAATTCATTCAGTATATTACTAAATCAACCATGTGAATTAAAGGGGTCATATGATGTTGTTAAAAACAACATTATTTTGTGTATTTGGTGTAATGAAATGTGTTTATGCGGTTTAAGGTTAAAAAAATTAACATTATTTTCCACATAATGTACATTATTGTTTCTCCTCTATGCCCCCGATTTTTACAAAGCTCATCGGTCTGAAAAGCAAGGTGTGCTCTGATTGGCCAGCTATCCGGTGCGTTGTGATTGGCCGAATACCTTAAGCATGTGACGGAAATGTTACACCCTTACCATACTGTGATGCCTTGTCCCGGCCAGAGCGACAAGACAAAAACAATAAAACCCATTATAAACGAGGCATTTATTGCATCCAGTGGGGACATAATTATGGATTATGATGACTTATACGTTGCATTGCATCGCGCCGCGTAAACATAAATGTCTGCATTTGTGATCGGAGAAATGACAAACAACAAGCGCTACGCTACACTGCTCAAAACTCGCGTTTGAATCGTCAGTGGCAAATTCTTTAAATATAAAAACGTACTTACAGTCTGTGACTCGTAACAAGCCGGCATTGTAGTCTACTCTACCAGGATCAGGAAACAGTCCTCCATAAAATGCGCTGCACACATCTGAATATTTGGGTAGAACTGTTCTGGAACAGTGTTGTAAATACAACTTAACCACTGATTTCTAGTCGTGTCCTCTTTTGGAAGGCCAAACAAAGTAGTTTCGCTTTCACAACGAAACACAGCTTCACACACGGCGGCTAGAGTGAGTGGCGGGCGGGCTTGTAGCAACCACATGTGACGACCCCGGGCTGGACTCCGCTTCGTCCACGGTGAAAGCCGATTCGGCGATCCACAGCGTGAAGTTGATGTATTTCCTCAGCGACCAGCACGGATCAGCTCCAGGCATGATGAAGCGGATATCGTCCTCTTTTGGAAGACCAAACAAAGTAGTTTCGCTTTCACAACGAAACACACAGCTCTTCATGACATGGTGGCGGCAACAACAATACTAGAGCGAGAATAAAAGTTAAGCCTTCTTTCTTTGCGTGAACATTTGGGCGGCATTATGCAAATCTTCCCACATCGTGACGTAGACATGTGGGGGCGTGTTAGAATGAGCTGTTTTAGGTAGGCGTGGTTGACTCTTAACTTTTATAAAGAATATCTCTTTGGATTTGAGACTTTAGTCTTTGCAACTTTACAGATCTTCTTTATGCACCAAGAGCTTGTAACACTCCAAAGAGAAAGGAAAAATTGAAATCGCATCATATGACCCCTTTAAATAAGATAAATAAGCGGTTTTGACATAATTACAGAAGAAATATCTAATAGTCAAAATGATAGAAAACCACAGTTTAATAGGTAACAGGTACTGTCCTTAATTAAAAAAATAAAACTAAATGAAGCTGAAATAAACTAAATTATAAATATTAGATGAAAAACGTTAAAATAAAATGAGAAACATTGCTTTGGCAACTAACTGAAATAAGTTTGTTAAAGCACAAAACTTTCTAACTGGAAATTTACAAAAAAAACTAAGACTGAAATAAAAGTAAATTAAACCTATAAAAGTAATATTTAAACAAAAAAAAGTTAAAATTAATAAAAAAAAAACTGAAAATATAAAAATAAATAAAAAATATGAATGAAAACTATAGTATATAAATAATACTAAAACACTGATACAGGACAGTCATAATAGTTTAGATTGAGCATTTATTTTCTATTAACTGATTAAACAGAAAAAAGATTCATTGATTTCAATTGCCGATTCATTGAAAACCACAAAAGAATGATCAGCTTGTGAGTCATAGTGGTTTGCAATATGTAACATGAGGATGAGTAAACAATGACAGAATTGACATAAACCTGAATGTGAGAATCTTACCAGCGTCCATCGTCTCCCTCTCTCACCAGCTGCACGGAGTCTCCACTCTTAACCGTCAGCTCCTGTGGTCCGTTTTTGTCATGGTCAGCAACTACCACGTACCTGCCTGGAGACTGCACGCACACACAAACACCGTCAGTGGCCAAACTAAAGATATCTGCAAACAAACATGGATGGGACTCAAGAAATCGTGACGCTGGGCCACACTGACTCACCAGCTTTTTCCCTCCCTCATCCTCAGGATCAGAGTTCATGGGATCCTCGGCACTCGAGTAACCGTCGTTCTCCTCAGACGCGTCCACAGACAGCGATGCCTTGGAGAAGCCTTGTGGAAGAGAGGATGAGTGAAACAATCGTGCCATTTGGCTCATGGTGAGACAACGAAAGAGAGGGATAAGTGGTGCTCCACAAAGATGGTGTGTGGAAGGTGAAAAAGAGACCGGCTCTGTTTCAAAACTTAGTGAGCTATTTTGCTGTCTACAGCTTACAAGGTCGGCTGACTTCTAAGGCAGCATGCTAAACATTAAGTTCCTGAAGTAAAATTCTTGGACTTCAAAAGAGTCTGGCATTGGCATGTTGCTAAGCTAACAACACAACAGCATTAAAAAAAAACATAGCAGACTACAATTTTCACTCAGAAATTGCTAGTAAATTTTGAAATCAAATAGAAAGAAACAGGAAGTAACATTGAAATAAATGTAAAACTTTGTAGCAGAAAGAGTGAAATAGTATTTTTTACAGTTTAGCCAACATTACTTTCGACCCAAATCACCATCTTAGATGTTTTCATTGAGACTTTGCATTGGGAGTGTGCGTATGACGCCTATGCAGGCAGCACACTAAGTTTTGAAACAAATCCAGTGTCTCTTTCTCTCGTATCTATTTGAAAAGAGGAACAGCTCCAGGCACTGATGTAACAGGAAGAGCTGTTTGTGTTCTATGTTCAGACAGCCATGACATTTTGATGACAGTTTGTGAATATGACACATTCGCAAATCATAAAAACATGTTTATGGAGAGATACATAAACGTTTTTAGGTCTGAATCGGTGGATAATTATGGAGCCTGGAAGAGTGTTTGGCAGAAAGGGATCTGTGGTTTCAGAATCGTAAAAGTGAATCCAGAACTAGCACCGCAAACCAGCAGACAGGAACCCAAACCAGACACTAATGCAGAGTTAAACGCAAGTGTTTTCACACGAAGGGAAGTGCAAGTTGAAATTCTTGCACAAATTGACAAATTCTGGTTTGTAAATGTACAGTATTAAAGTATTAGCATGAATTGACTGTAAAAATACTGTATTTAAAGGAAATTAAACTGTCTTTATTTACTAGCCCTCATGTTGTTCCAAACCTGTATGACTTTTTGTTTTGTGGAAACAAAAGACTTTTCCACGCAATGTTTTCCATGCAGTTACTACAAACGGGAACCGAAGCTTTCAAATTTCAAAAGGGGTGAAAAAGTATAACGTAAATGCAAAAATCTCCTAAAGAGCTTTGTATGAGGAACAGGTCGAGACTTCGTATTCACTTAAAATCTTGAGACTTTGAGGAATATCGCAGTTATCAGTCCAATTTGTAAATGAATCATTCTTTTGAGTTGGATCATTTCAAATGAAGTGACTGATTTGGTTCACAAACCAGTCTGATTCATTCATGACTCAAGTTCAATTCACTGAATCAGGATAACAACCACTTCTGTGATACTTTCATGGCGCTTTTACTTCTTCTTTGAAGGCTGAATGCTTTAGCCTCCAATTCAATGCAAATGCATGGAAAACTGGTTTGTAAATGTACAGTATTAAAGTATTAGCATGAATTGACTGTAAAAATACTGTATTTAAAGGAAATTAAACTGTCTAGCCCTCATGTTGTTCCAAACCTGTATGACTTTTTGTTTTGTGGAAACAAAAGACTTTTCCACGCAATGTTTTCCATGCAGTTACTACAAACGGGAACCGAAGCTTTCAAATTTCAAAAGGGGTGAAAAAGTATAACGTAAATGCAAAAATCTCCTAAAGAGCTTTGTATGAGGAACAGGTCGAGACTTCGTATTCACTTAAAATCTTGAGACTTTGAGGAATATCGCAGTTATCAGTCCAATTTGTAAATGAATCATTCTTTTGAGTTGGATCATTTCAAATGAAGTGACTGATTTGGTTCACAAACCAGTCTGATTCATTCATGACTCAAGTTCAATTCACTGAATCAGGATAACAACCACTTCTGTGATACTTTCATGGCGCTTTTACTTCTTCTTTGAAGGCTGAATGCTTTAGCCTCCAATTCAATGCAAATGCATGGAAAACAGCAACCAGTAAATTGTGGAAACTTTCTCCTTTTGTGTTCCACAGAAGAAAGAAAGTCATACAGGTTTGGAAGAACACGAGTGTGAGTAAATAAAGATTGATTTTCAGTGTTCATACTATTATAATAGTTTCAACTATTCCTTTAAGAGATTATCTGATCATTCTCTCTGCTGTAACTATGATAAGATATGAACTAGGCTGGTTTCACATTCTCCCACAGTAAAGAGCATTTCAGATCGACAATAGTAATTTATTGAGCAGTTATGTCAAAGTGATGCCATTTTAGCGCCGTGATTTATTCTGCAAACCACCAATTACAGTGCAATAATATCATACACTATGGTTAGTGTTTGCCAGTCTGTTTGGAAGTTCGCAGTGAGAGAGCAATAAAGACAAAGTTCATTCCCACACCAGGCATCTAGTTACCTCTCCTTTTAGTCTGCAACAGACTAGAAGTGCTCAGCCATCTCACTCGGGTAAGAGTGATGTGGGGACCTGCGTCTAAGGGAGAGGCAGCCGATAAGATTTCAAAGACTCCATCGATTTACCAACCACCCCACAGATTGTTGGTTGGGTGTACAGCACAAGTCATTTTGTTTGGATTGTAAATGCTTAAAAGGACAGTCCACCCAAAAATGAAAATTCTGTCATCATTTATTCACCTTCATGTTGTTCTAAACCTGTACGACTTTCTTTTTTCTGTGGAACACAAAAGAAGATATTTTTTTTTAAATGTTGGTAATTAAACAGGTTTCAATTCCCACTGACTTTCATTGCATGGACAGAAATACAATGGAAGTCAATGGGAAATGAAAACGCTTGGTTATCATACAACATTCTTCAAAATACCTTATTTTGTGTTCAGCAGAAAAAACAAACTCATCTCAGGTTTGGGATGACATGAAGATGAATACACAATGACAGAATGATCATTTTTGGGTGAACCATCCCTTTAACACCTAATATAGAAGCATTTTAGTTTCGATTACTTTAGGCTGATGCATGAAAAATGGTGAAACATAATATATGGAGGTGAAATAAAATTCGGCAACCACATAATATGATCAAATAAATATTTTGGAACACTGGTCATGGCTGATGTTGGAGGAGAGAATGCTGGGAGTTTTCAGGGGACAGTGTACCTCTGAAGCCAAACGGTGTAGGATCACTCTTAATCTCATGTCTTTTAGTTTTGTGGTCAGGACTAGGGGGGGATGATCCTGGCAGCCATAGCAATGAGCGAGAAAGAAAAGGATAAGAGGACAAAAAATCAGGAAAGAAGGAAGAGAAAGTCTTTAACAGGGTTAAAGGAAAGATTCTTAAATATTATAAAGAAAAAAGTGGCTCTTTTGCAGGGTGAAAGCCTTTACAGCAACCATGTCCACTAAAGTCTTACACCGTGCCTTAACTATCTGCAATGTGATCAAACGTGATAATGGTTTTCAGAAATTGACCTGATCCAAAATTCCACTCTTATAACCATATATTAAAGAAATACATAGTTATGGGAGTAAGCAAGTAAGTAAATAAATGGCTAGCATTTTCGATTTTGGTGTGGACACATTATTGTTCCTGGAAATCAATTATGTCACACCTGGTTAAGGCACAGTGAATTGCTCTTAAGTGGTGATTGATCTAAATTGTAATACTACCAAGCTTAAAATCTGATGTTAAACTGCTGCTAATCTAGACGTTCTGATCTACACTAGAGTCTAGTGTTTTCTGAGACTACAGTATACCTGGAGGGCAGAGAGCGACCATGGGTAGTGTTAGGCTTTTGCCACCAGAGGGCGCTATCGGTTCTGCAGTGGGGTTCAAGCCAAATATTACTGAATATTCCAAATTAAATCTTCACAATTTATATAATGCCACTGAAATTTGTGTTGACCAAATATTTTTAACTAAACATTTGTGACCCTGGACCACAAAACCCGTCATAAGGGTAAATTTTTTCGAAATTGAGATTTATATATCATCTGAAAGCCCCCAAAATAAGCTTTTCATTGATGTATATTTGATAGGATAGGACAATGTATGGTCGAGATACAACTATTTGAAAATCTGGAATCTGAGGGTGCAAAAAAAAATCAAAATATTGAGAAAATCACCTTTAAAGTTGTCCAAATGAAGTTCTTAGCAATGCATATTACTAATCAAAAATTTAAAAGGGGTGAAAAAGTATAATATAAAAATTAAGTTTTGATATATTTACGGTAGAAAATTTACAAAAAATCTTCATGGAACATGATCTTTACTTAATATCCTAATGATTTTTGGCATAAAAGAAGAATCGATAAATTTGACCCATACAATGTGTTTTTGGCTATTGCTAAAAAAAAAACCCAGCGACTTAGTTCACCCAAAAATGAAAATTAGGCTGCGTTTTACTCACCCCCCAGGCATCCTAGGTGTATATGACTTTCTTCTTTCAGACGAATCCAGTCGGAGTTATATAAAAAATTGTCTTTGATCTTTCAAGCTCTATCATTGCAGTCAGCGGGTGTTGCATTGCTTCAGTCCAAAAGAAGTTAAATAAAAAGCACCCATCCATAAAAAAATGTCTCCCACGGCTCCGGAGGGTGAAGAAAGGCCTCCTGTAGCGAATCGATGCGTTTTTGTAAGAAAAATGTCCATATTCAAAACTTAATAATCACTTGAATCTAGCTTGCGCTCACTGTTGTAAACGAAAGCAGTTCCGGGGGAATGACGTATGAGGTCAGCTTTGCGCATGCGCCGCTCAGAAGTGACGAACACGGAAGCGCAGCAGAGAGATCAAAACAAATATTAACAGCGGTCACTAATTATGAGTACAAAATGAGGATTTGTAAAGAAGAATGTCGGAGGATTTCGATATAAGCAAAGAGGAGACTGGTTTTCCTTTGCTAAAGTAAGGAAACTTTGCTTCCTTTGCTCCTGTTAACAAACGTTGGTTTTCACAAGACACACCGGTGCATGTGCAGCGCTGACCTCATAGGTCATCCTCCCGGAACTGCTTCCGTGTACAACTGTTGGCGCAAGCTAGATTAAAGTGATTATTACGTTTTGAATATGGATATTTTTCTTACAAAAATGCATCGATTCGCTACAGGAGGCCTTTGTTCACCCCCCGGAGCCGTGTGAGACACTTTTTTTATGGATGGGCGCTTTTTATTTAACTTCTTTTGGACTGAAGCAATGCAACACCCGCTGACTGCAATGATAGAGCTTGAAAGATCAAAGACAATTTTTTATATAACTCCGACTGGATTCGTCTGAAAGAAGAAAGTCATATACACCTAGAATGCCTCGGGGGTGAGTAAAACGCAGCCTAATTTTCATTTTTGAGTGAACTAACCCTTTAAGACTGGTTTTGTGGTCCAGGGTCACATTTTCAACTATTAAAGTTATGTTAAGCTTTCTTTTATATAAATGTTTCATCAGTATGCAGTCACCCTGTTTTAAAAGTATGATACATTCTTGTGTAAAGTTGTGAGCCCTCCTGTTGTACCTTTTTGACTCTTGAGGTTACTGAAGCCCTGCAGTGTAAAACGCTTTTTAGCCACTGCAGCTCTCTCAGTGTTGGGACTGGTGACATTCTCGTCTATTCTCCACAGAGACAGAGAGAAAGAAAGAGGAAGGGGAAATAATGAAGCACGTTACAGGTTTAGTCAGGAAAAAGAAACACAGGGGTTACAAAGAACATCAGAGAAATTCACAGTTTAAGCAGCAAGAGGAAAGATAGCAGCATTCTGAATAGTGGGACAGATTTTGGTGGTTGGGGTTGTTTTCACTGACTGACTGATGTCATATATTTCTTGTGTAATATCAGAAAGATGGCTTTTGAAAATGTTGACCATAGAGTGTGTAGTGAGACCATATACGTGTATGTTGAGAAGGGCTGACTGACCTTTGACCTTGTCGTTATTTTTAAGTAAGACGGCTGTGCTGGGATCTGCTGCTGTGGGTTCAGTTTTCTTCTCTTCTCCTTTCTTGAGGGTCTTTGGGTTGGTCTTGAAGGGGCTCAGGGTTAGGCTGGTGCTGGTGGGAGTTAACTGTGAGATCTGATCCGAGCTCTTCTGCTGCCGTGCTTCTGAAATACAACATCACATGATTAGATAACCACACACAATAAAACTGATGAGGTGAAGGGTGTCATTTTATATGCACTACTGTTCAAAGGTTTGAGAGGGATTCTTTTTTTGTGGTTTTTGAAAGTGTCTTTTGCTCAGCAAAGCTGCATTTATTTGATCAGTTAGTTAAAACAGTAATATTGTGAAATATTAGTACAATTTAAAATAACTTTATTTAAATATATTTTAAATTGTTTTCCTTATACGGCAAAACTGTATGGCAAAGCTGAATTAACAACATTACTCCAGTTTTCAGAGTCACATGATCCTTTATAAGTCATTATTTATCATTATCAATGTTGAAAACAGCTGTGAAGCTTTTTTTTTTTGGAAACCATGATACTTTTACAAAGGATTCTTTGATTAAGAACAGCACTTATTAAAAATAGAAAATTTTTGTAACATTATGAATGTATTTATTGTTCCTACTGATCAATTTAACACATCCTTGCTAAATGAAAGTAATAATTTCGCTCAATAAAGAAACAAGCAATTTATTTCACCTCTGTAGGCCTTTAGTTGCCCCGTTAGAACCTTCCGGATCTCGTTCACCCATGCCGTTTTGATCTCTGGTGTCGGCGCCTGAAAATAACCAATAAAATGATCAGAAAGGCAAGTGACAGGATCACAGAGTGTTGCTTTAAATTATGTACATTCAATGCTATTTAAATATAGGATGTTTTTAATAAGGACAATTCTTATGTTTACCTGTACAATGTACACCTCCTCTCGAGAATTACACCAGATCTCAAACTTTTTGTTGTCTCCTTTTGCATTTTCAGTAATACCTACAGCACTCATCTGTCAGAGGAAAATAAAAATAAAAATAATCTGACTCAAACAGGAACTTGATATTCCCTGTCATTTATTTACATGCAAATATATCGGTTTACCTTGAATGGAACTTAATTTACTCGAGACAAAACAAATTAAACATGCAGATTTCATTTCTTGTTTTTCTGGGTTATACCACACTAAACATTATCAATTATTCCTTGTTAATATTTGTAATAGAACAGTTTTGATAAAGAAACTGATTTAGGATTGTAAAGTGATTTGGGGGGGGATTTAAATTTTCAGTTACCAGCCCACATTTTTAAGCACTCCGTCACATCGTCTTAAAGAAGTGGACCGATTTCCATGTCAGAGAAATACTAAACTACTTTAGTATTCAGTACTTACACTGAGTGAGTGTTTGAAGCTGTATGAAGGCGCTTTCTCATAACCCTCTCCGTTCTCCTCTCGTTTCTTACAGAAGAGTAGAGCTTTCTCATGCAGGAACAGGTGTCTCTGCATGGGCTTGAAGCGAGCCAGGTCTTTCACCTTCGCGTGACCCTTCTTATGCTCCGTCCACACGCTGAACGACCCCTGCATCATCAGACGTCCCAGATCACTGAGGTTGCCCTGGAAGCACAGGTCAGAGGTCAACAGCTACTCTAAAGGCGACTTACATTATTGGAAACCATTTTAATTCAAAGTGAACATTAAACTTCACAACGTGTGTAAATGACATCCTTACTTCATATCCAGTGATGGCGATAAGGTGCATGGAGTCATTCACAGCTTTCAGGATGCCCAGAATAGATGAGAGCGCCTCCTGCAGGTCATCCTCACCCTCGCAGCCTTTACTGTACTTCAGCAGTTCCTGACAGTAACACACATGAACACAGAGGCTACATCAGTGAGAGGTGCACACATGAGTTATATATCTGCACATGTGCTCTGGGTATAGTTTACCTTCAGTAAGAGCTGGTATTTGGTTATTCTCTGCACTGGTTTGAGCAGGTACGAGTCCAAACCAAGCTTATGTTCCAGTTTCTTTTGACACTCCTGAAAACAATACACACAAATTCTCTCTTTATTATTTTTTTTACTATGATTTTTATCTTATGATAATGAATATTATTATTATGTAAATATTATTATTAAACTATTATAATTACTATTTATTAAATTAAAATGTATTGTAAATATTTATTAAATAATACGTATTGTTTTTCTTTTACTTATAATTATTATTAATAATAGCAATAATAATAATAATAATAATGTTCAGAACTCTGGTGTCGGTAAATAATTTTTTAAAAGAAATTAGTGTTAATTTAGCAAGGACACATTAAAAATTTTCAAAAGTGATGTAAAAGTTAAAGTAAATACATTTACATTTTTACAAAAACTGTCTATTTCAACAGCCTATTTTAAGCTTTTAAGCACCAAATCAGCATATTAGAATGATTTCTGAAGGATTATGTGACGCTGAAGACTGGAGTAATGATGCTGAAAATTCAGCTTTATATCAAATTAATAAATTACATTTTTAAATATATTAAAATAGAAAACAGTTGTTTTAAATGGTAATAATACAATGTTTCCCAATATTACTGTTTCTACTGTATTTTAGATCAAATAAATCCAGCCTTAGTGAGTAAAAAGAGACTTCTTTCAAAAACACATACACACACAAAAAAAGAAAAGAAATCATACCGTATCCAAACTTTTGAACAGTAGTGTTTATCAGGTCCTATATGCTGTATTCCTAATTTACTACATATGGTTCTATGACCCATTTAAATTACAGAAAGAAATATGTGCTTATGTGTAATGTAGCCTTAATATAGATAAAATACAGCATCTTTAGTGACTTGTAAAGTAAGATGACCTGGAAGAATGCGCAGTCAGAGCACTGTCTCCATAGAGACTCGGAGCGAGGCTTGTTCTGACAGTACTTCTCATAGATCTGCAGATCCGTCATCTAAGAAACAGAAAAATGATGTTTGTATAATCTATTCAATAATGTATTCAATCAGAACAGCACAGGATGTAACATCCGACTCACTCTCTCCAAGAAACACCGGCCCACAAGCTCAGGATAGTCTGTGTACGCTTCCAGTTCACGAAGAAAAGTCCTGAAATATACAGAGAGTGAATAGAGAGAATAAGAAGTGCTTTAGCATTATAACACCACTCAAGCGGAAGCTAAAACAGACACAGGGGGTTCTCTCACTTCTTGTGGAACTGGTATATCTCAGGCATATTCCCAAAGAGGATGTCCTTCTTGTGAAGCAGTGTATTGGGGATGAGGTGAGCCATGGCAGGATTGTCCATTTCTGCTCCATAACCCTAAACACAAATTAATCTGTCAAGTCTAATGTATTAAAAACTCAGAAGTATGGAAGCCCGTTTCCGCCACTAAATAAAAAAATATAATTCTGTAAGTCATAATAATGAGAAACTAAGTCATAGTAATCTGACCTCTAGAGGTTAAAAATGTCAGTGCAACTCACCTCCAGCACACACAGCAGCTCCTCCACATATGCTCGCTCCGTCTCCAACAGCTCATTCATCACATGCCTGTAGTGGACGGACATTAAACACATAATCCATATAGAAAGACACAATTAGAGCTGTTTTCCCTCCATTTGTAATAAGCTCCTGACTGACCGTCTAAGCACAGCAAAGTTCTCCTCTTCATCAGAGACAGAGGTGTGTCTGCTGCCATCATTCTGTAAGTGTATCTCTCCCTGCAAATATAAACAACCCTGCATTAGTGTCTTGAAAATGTGTTCAAATGAATTAAATCACAAATAGCAAAGAGAAGTTGGTTTGGCAGAACATTTTTAGCTCAACATTCAAAATTCACTCAAATTAACTCTAAATTTGAAAGAATTATTTAAATAATAACCACTAAGGTTGTTAATATAAAAATCATCTGTAAAAATTAAGATTTTTTTCACACTTAAAAATGTTGCAAGAGTTTTCCTTTGTGATAAAAATATTTCCATACTTTCTGACCCTGAGACCCATATAACAGAAGGAACATTTGCTTCATCATGTTATGATCAATTAACAACAAGCTTAAGTGCAAAAAATGCATATGTTGAGGGTACAATATAACCAATGTTGCTTTAATTATCAATATCAAAGCAGTCATATAAATATGATTGCTTATACGTTCAATAAAGCACTGCCTAGAGATGAGATACCTACTTTTCTGCAGTTTCCATTGATGATATCACCCTCTATCGTCTTCTCCCTATGAGCTGGGATAAAAGCACACTTATATTAATAAACTAATACAAAAATATATATTTTTATGTTATATACACTGCTTTTTGTGTCATGCAATGAGCCCTGCAGCTCTCCATTGTGAACACATGGCAGGAGAGTACAGTAAGTGACAGGGTCCGCCATATCTGTTGTGCATGAGTGACCATAAGTAGCTGTGGAGGGACATTGAGAGGATGCAGACACTACCGCACTGCGAAGGAGAGAAGCCACTGCTAAACTGCTCTGTAGAAAACTGCTGTATTAATGTGTTTGCCTCTGCATAAAACGCACAAGTCACGTGATATTAATTTTATTAGGGGTTAATTCAGAATTAAAATTGCTGAATAATTTAGATATTTAGATATTCAAGCTGAGAACAAAATAGCCCTGAACTTGAGTGAACATATGTAAATGTGAACATTTGAGATGAATAAACTTGGTCCAAAATGTTTGTATTATTCAGTAGGATCACAACTAATCCAGACACCCAACGCAACACATAAAAAGTCTCATTTAGGAAGTTAACCTGGAGAAGAAATGGGTGATTTGATGATGGCCTCAGGACGTGGGGCGACGGGTTGCACGGGTCGTGTCTGTTTGGCTGCTAACTTCTTCAGACTGACCCTCCTCTTCTCAAACATTTCCTGCATGGACAGCTGCTTCTGAAACACTTTGTCCACCTGATCCTGTTTGAGCACAGAGAAGACATTCATTTAACACTAACAAACTAAAACCACACAACACATCTGACTAATGATATTCACATTCTCATTAACACTTTAATTAAAGGGGTCATGAACTGAGAAATCAAAATTCGCTTGATCTTTTGATATACAAGAGGTCATTGTGCTATAAAAACATGCTTTCATTTTCAGAACTCAAAACTTTCTTGTTAGTCTAAAAACAGCTTATATTGAAGCCAAAACGACAGCTTGTGGAATGTGCCACTTTATGATGTAATAGTGTGGATAAGCACCGCCTCCGCAGAAGATGATGATCAACGCCTGCTTCTATATCACTGCCTGTTTAGCCTTGCCCACCGATTTGCACAGTGTAAATACAGGCGATTGCGCAGGTCTACGGAGAAATCAAATGATAAACTTTATTTGAAGAACTTTATTTTTAATTAAGTGCCAGACTGTGTCAGTAAGAATATGTGAAAAATGTTTTTGGATGTACAAATCTTGATAACATTATAAGTGGACCTCAGAGAATGTCTCCGTTACGTATGGTAACCCTCGTTCCCTAATGGAGGGAATGGAGATGTTGTGTCGAGTGTACAACACTAGGGTTCGCTCTTGGGAGCCCAAACACCTCTGACATCTTTGAGAGAAGGCAAATTAAATTGGGTGTGCAGGATTTGCATAGCTGGCCACGCCCCGGACATATGGGTATAAATAGGCCAGCATGGCATCTGCTCACTCGTACTGTTCTGAGGAGTCGAGAAGCATCTCAACCCACTCAGAGGCAATTCGGAGTTGTGGCATGAAGGACACAACGTCTTCATTCCCTCCATCAGGGAACGAGGGTTACCATACGTAACAGAGATGTTCCCTTTCTGTTGTTCACTTCGACGTTGTGTCGAGTGTACGACACTAGGGGTCCCTATACTAAATGCCACAACTGCCGAACTGTGTCACGAGTCCACGGGGGAGCAGATGTTGACAAGCCAGCGTGTCACAACCAAATGCACCTCTCCTCCTCGTAACCTTCCAACACCCAAGACTTAGGACCTCACTCTCCAACATCCGGGAGAGTCGCCATAGAGGCAGAGGTTCCCTCAGCCGGAGCCTTTTCCCATAGTAATACTCACCATAATATAACAGCTGAAAAGTCTTGGTAGTGAACGTTGGGACAGTGACTATTCCCCCATGGGGGAAAGGCACTACGGAGTTCACATCCTACCCGATGGGGAGGTAATATGTGAGGATCCACCTATGGACTTACAGAGAAAGTACCACATAGGGAAGATTCTGAGGTGGGTTTCGCTTAAGGGGAGAACTACCAAAACCCAGAACCTGTTGACAGACTGAATGTTTGTCTAGGGGAACACTGAGCCTCAGGGGCAACTCAGTGGAGAATACACACATGGGGCCGCAAGAGGAGCCGCTACATGGGGAGCACTAACCCAATACTCGAGGGAACTTACCTCGGAATGGGTTCTAATAGCGAGTTCCTCCGCCGAACTTCGCCAAGTAAACTGCTTATGTGATGGAAGGGTAGTCCAGAGTTCATGAAAGCTGGACTGAATAAGCGCATAACCACCCTGGGGGGGGAGTAGCGCTGGTAGCAAGCCCTACACCCTGCCAGTGTCCTGAGTCAAGAACTGACGTTCAGAACTCTAGAAGAAACTGATTCCATTCGTAGATTATAAAATCTAACAAATGTATTAGGTGTAGCCCAACGAGCAGCTCTACAGATATCTGCTAGAGAGGCCCTGTTCAACAGGGCTGCTGATGCAGCCATGCCCCTGGTAGAGTGAGCCCTCACACTCCCAGTCCCAGAGGCAGGATGTGTTTGATGGCCTCCGTCTGCTTCTTTACCGTGGGCAAAACTGCTGGGCAAATTCTTCCATGGTCTCGCCAAAGAGACCAAAGAAATGGGGGCATCAAGAAAGCGCAATTTCTTGGCTTCCCACATCTCAGCCAGGTTGAGCCACAGGTGGCGTTCCTGGACCACTAGCATTGAACAACCTGTAAATTGGCCCCCATTTCACAGGTTGGTCTCTGGGACATCGCCCTCCCCAGAGCCTGTGCCGTGACCTTCGTAGCCCGGAGGGCATAGTCAGTAGCTGAGTGCAGTTCCTGCAGTACCTCTGGGTTAGGCCCACCCTCATGCAGTTCTTTCAACGCCTTGGCCTGGTAGACCTGCAGGATGGCCATAGCGTGCAGGGTGGATGCAGCTTGTCTAGAGGCCGCATAAGCCTTCGCCACCAGGGACGAAGAGAACTTACAGGCCCTGGACAGGAGACTGGGGCTGCGTTTTGCGGGCAAAGATGCACTACAATCGCTCTCTCCACCTGGGGAACCATATAGGGCAGAAGAACCGGTGTATAGTGTTCTGGCCGAAAAAGGGGCCTTCCACGATTTCGTCAATTCCTCGTGCATTTCCAGGAAGAAAGGCACCGGGGCTGGGCGTGGCTTAGTGTTGCACTCAGAAACCAATCATCCAGCTGTGAGCGCTCCGGGCAGGGTGGGGGAGACCACTTTAGCCCGATGCTCTTGGCTGCCCGGGCAAGCACGGCTGCCATCTCAGCATCGGCCTCGGACTCAGCAGTCATCTGCTTCCAATGGCTCAAGCCCGCCCTCCGATGCTGCGATTGACAGCTCGTCCTGCTCACGAGCCCGTGGACGGGCTCTCAAACTCATCCATAAACTCGACTGGTAAGCACGAAGCAAGAGAGGAACGGGAAGCTTGTGGGGATTGCCCCCGCAAAACTAATCCCTCCTCCATATGCTCTTCCGCGGCGCACATCGCAGCGGCCTCATACCTGGAGGTAGAAGGACCAAAGCCGCAAGCAGCCGTGGTGACTCGGGGTCTTTTGGCAAAGTGCAACGTGCCGATGAGAAGTGCCTCGCAAGCGGGGCACGAACCAACCACAAGCGCTGCCTCAGCGTGAGCATGGCCCAAACACTGAATACAGCACTTGTGCCGGTCGTCTTTCGAGACGTGCCAACCTCAACCAGAAACACATGGACAGAAAGGCATGATGAACACAAATTCCACCCGTGTAACTCTTTCAGAGAAATTCCTCTTTTAGAGGAAATTTGCTCTTCTAGAGATCGCCGTTGAAGCACCCAGGGGTACTCTCACAACACTTATCTGTGTACGGAGTAGGGAGAAACTGCTGACCCTGCCTTAGATCCAACGACGAGGAAATGAGAGATGAATGATTGCAACTTCTCCGTAAGAGATGCTGCATTCGGCTCCGAAAAACAGAACGAGTGAGCAGCGAGTGAGCAAATGCCACGCTGGCCTATTTATACACGGATGTCCGAAGTGTGGCCAGCTATGCAAATTCTGCACACCCAATTTCATTTACCTTTTCTCAAAGATGACAGCAGAGATGTTTGGGCTCCCAAGAGTGACCCCTAGTGTCGTACACTCGACACAACGTCGAAGTGAACGACAGAAAGGGAACAGTAAAAAATAATAAAAAAAGGCAGTTCATGACCCCTTTAAAGGGGTCCTATTATGCTTTTTCACTATTTCAACTTTAGTTAGTCAGTAGATCTGCAAAGTTACAAAGTTCAAAGTCCACTTCAAAAGGAGATATTTTATTTAACAGATATTACTTTTCAAAAACTACAATGAATGACTCATTTGCACTACAATGCATATTTTCCGGGATTTGTGATATCACAAATATCGATGAATAGGATGAGACCTGGTTGAGCTGCACTAGAGAAGGCAACAAGTGTTATCACTATGTCTGAGACACGCTAGCTTTCCCAAGGCAGATGAACTTAGAGTGGTTACAATCATCCGGGTTTAAATCGTGCTCAAATTGATTTGATTTTGACGCAATATTTACACTGAAGCTGGGCATGACATTTCCTGACCAATCACAACACACACTGGCCCAGCAAACCAATCACAGCACATTTCGTATTTCAGAAGGCGGGCCTTCATTTGATACAGGAACTATTCGAGCCGTTCATGCCAGACTGGGGAGAGAGGTGTTGTAATAGTGCAGGGGTGCCCAACCCTGCTCCTGGCGATCGACTGTCCTGCAAAGTTTAGCTCCAACTCTAATCAAACACACCTGCCTTTAATGTTTAAGTGATCCTGAAGACCCTAATTAGTTGCTTCAGGTGTGTTTGATTAGGGTTGGAGCTGAACTTTGCAGGACAGTCGATCGCCAGGAGCAGGGTTGGGCACCCCTGTAATAGTGTTTTTCGAACAACCTAGTATGAGAGCTTGTTCTAGTACACCCCCAAAACAAAATCAAAACTTTGTAAAAGAGCATAATAGGACCACTTTAAATGACCAATAACTCCATGCATATGAACAGTAAATATCAGTGTATAAATAAAAATCTATAAACATATTATGGCTCAGCATGTCAGCTCTGTTTTTTTAATGGTTTTGAGTCTTTTACCCTGAAGTCTTGTGTGAGCACCGACTCATAGTCCCTCCAAATTCCACTCAAATCTGTCAGCTTGTGCTGATTGGCTGTTTCCAGGAAACGCTCAATCTCCTGCAGCGCTGACTCCGCCCCATCCTGTGATTGACACTTATCCACAGGCTGAGATGCCAGCAGGTAGATCCCATCATCACACCACTTAGTGGCCTAGAAGAGAAAGAAAAAGAGTCAATGATCATCATTAAAGAGGGCTTTTAGTCCATGTCTGGAAAAGGAAAGGATGTGATGTAGAGGTCTGTGCGGGACTATTTTTTTAGTCCCACTCCCGCAAGGTTATATTCCGCACCCACCCGCTCCTGCTATATATTCACTCTTTGTTCACCCGCTGTCTGCTTAGAACAATTTTCTTCCCGACCTGACTGTTTCCACTAAATGTAGATCTCGTTTCCAGAATCTCACATTTAAATTTCCACTACTGAAAGAAAGAGAGATAGGCTGACAAATAAAAGAGTAGTCTGCACAAAATTGTATGTTATTTTATTCGTCTTGTCAAGAGTCTTGAATTTATTGACTTTGACTTGAATTTATATGAATTATCTTAAAGTCCGCATGAAAACTTGGACTTTATTTACTTTACCAGCACACATTGCTAGTCTTGATGTGAACAATTAATCTGTGCATGTTAATCCGCTGAAAAAAAATTGTTTGTCTTTGTAATCTTTAATCAAAATCTGAACATTTGCTTCTGCTCTGGAATGGCATTCCTTCTCTGATGACATCAGTTTGACGGCTTGGGCAGAATATCCTTAAACACACCCCTCCAACCGTTAGATTGCTATGAGTGAGAGACAGAGAGGAGGAGCGCAAAAATAAAACCATGCCCTCTATTCAATATTCCTTTTCAGCTGGAAATACGTCACTACACTGAAATAAATTAGGCAGCAACTTCCGGTTCACGCGGACTTTAAGACAAAATTCGTTAATATTTTATGCAACAGTAGGAAAGAAAGTGTCAGAGAAAATAAAAATGTACAAAAATTTTATTTCTTATTTTTATTCGTCTTGTTAGGATACAATTCGTTTAACATTTACAACACAATAGGAAAAAGTGTCACAGAGAGAAAAAAATTTAAATGTAGGTTGTACAAAAATAGCCTATTAGCTATTTTTATTCGTCTTGTCAAAATACTAAATTCGTTTGACATTTTTCTGTTTACACAGTAGGAAAAGTGTCGCAGAGAAAAATAAATAAATACGACATCTTTCATTTAAAATTATATGTTATGCAAAATATAAACAAACTGAGTTGAACGTCCTTCAAGGACAGCGCATCCACACTTTGCTCCATCCTTATTCTGCTCTCTCACTCATCGACAACCTGCCTGTTCTGTCTGAGGGCCGTATATTTATCACCAGTAGCCTGTTCTGAGCATCGTTATGCACATGCTGCGCACAGACCCCGCAAATAAAACGTGTGATGCAGAAAGCATGCGTGCAGCGCGTGCATGACGGTCCGAGTGCAGGCTGTACCGGTGGTCAATAAGAATAAAGTGCAGATATGCTGTTCTGAATGGACGTCGGGAACAGGATATTGTTAGACCACCCTCTCCTGTTCAAATTACACCAGAGTTACTGACCACTACTGCGTTTTATTTGGGAATTTAATCCTGTGGTGCAAAAAATCTGGTTGAGAGCCGCTGGAATGCAGACATCTAATGTGACGTGTTGCCAAGTATGGTGACCCATACTCGGAATTTGTACTCTGCATTTCATCTATCCAAGTGCATGCACATACCAGTGAGTAGTGAACAAACACACACACACTGTGAACACACACCCGGAGCAGTGGGCAGCATTTTGGTGCCTTGCTCAAGTGTCTCACCTCAGTCGTGGTATTGAAGGTGGAAGAGAGCACTGGTCATGCACTCCCCCCACCTACAATCCCTGCTGGACCTGAGACTTGAACCCGCGACCTTTGGGTTGTTGAGTTTAGGTATTGGGTAGGATTAGGGATGTAGAATATGTTCATGCAGAATATGTGCTTTAAAAGTATTAATAAACAGCTAATATGTTAATAATTGGCATGCTAATAAGCAACTAGTTAATAGTGAAAATTGGTCCCTATAATAAAGTGTTACCAATCCATTTTTTACATCCTGCAACTTCCAGATTCAATAAGAAAAATGTCAACACAGGAAAGAAAGTGTCTATTGATGAGCATTTTAGAGGGCTCCTGAACAGTGCTGATGAAGGAATCAATGGCTGGGCCTACTGTACCTTCTCTAGACACTGGTGTAGCTCCAAGGCTTTGAGCAGATAGGCTTTCTTGGCCTTGAGGATGCTGCTGATCTCCTCGCACACAGCCCGCAGGTCAGAGCATTTGGGGAGGATGGAGTCCACAGCGTAATGAGACGCTTCAATCAGCTGGTCAGCATCACATGCTAGAGTCAGCGCTCGGTCCAACACCTCCTACAGACAGAGAGAGAAATATTTCATCATTTCATAGTATTACGCACACTTCAAAAAGTTTTAAAGAAATTTTCAGGAACTTTTATTCAGCAAGGATGCATTAAATTGATAAAATATTACAGTAAATAGAATTTATAATGACAGTATATTTATAATGTTAATGTTTTCTATTTCAAATAAATGCTGTTCCATTTCAAATAAACACTGGAAAGAAATTTATCAATTTCCACATAATATATTTTGAAGCAGCACAACTGTTTTAAATATTGATGCTAATAATGTTTCTTAAGCATCAAATCAGCATATTAGATGGATTTGTGGACACTGAAGACTTGAAAAACTGACAGTGAAAAATTCAGATTTGCTGAAAATAAATCACATTAAAATATATTAAAAGCTATTCATTTAATTTTCTAATATTTCACTGTATTACTTTTTTATTTAGTATTTACTTTTTTTTTTTTTACTGTATTTCTGCTCAAATAAATGCCGTATTGGGGAACTTAAGAGAGTTCTTTCGAAGACATAAAAACATCTTACTGACCCAAATAGTTTGAACTGTAATATATATATATTTATTTTAATAAAGTGATCACAGCAGGAACGAAAAACAATAGTATTATTCAACAATTGTAATTATACATACATACATATACACACACATATATACACACACAAATATATGTGTATATATAAACCATTTTTTATATTTTTTTTATTTAACTGGTTAATCTTATATACTGTATATGAAAAAATTAAAGTTTGCCACCCAGAATTCCCACAGTCTGGTGTCAGCAGAATGAATCCAGCATAGTGATGGGTGATTTATCACATTGGGTAAAACTCCCCCCTTCTCTCCGCAGGATGAGGACATGTGGGTGATTTCTGTAAGGGCCTCAAACTACCGTGCTCAGCAATTTAATTATGGAATATGAGATTTACATGCTTTACAAGACCATATGCCTGTATCTGCACACGCTAGAACATTTTAAGGGCAAATTAAGGTTTGCTGGATGTAAACTGGATCCCTTCTAGAGGTAAGTATTGATGGGCTTTTTGCAGTACTATGCTTTATCATCATAATCATTTTGTATCTGAATGATACATGTTATAACGTCATTAAAACCATAAAGTCATATGGCATCAAGTTAATACTTACACATGCTCTCTCTTCATGATTGGTCAGCTCTTTCAAGATATGTTCAACATGGGCAGGGCTAATTCCGACCTCTGAGAAGCCTGATAGTCTGTCATACACCATGTCTAAATGAGCTCTGACCTACAACACAGAGAAAAACAGCCATTACAAATACTGCTCATAGAGACCGACCCTCTCTCTCTCTCTCACACACACACACACACACACACACACACACAAACCTCTGTTGAATTCTACATCCAACATGCCACGCACACACACACACACACACACACACACACACACACACACGCACTAAAAACTAACAATGCACAATATATCTGTATCAAAACCACTATTCAAAGAAATTGGTTATAAATTGGCAATTACAATTTAGAATTAAAACTGATTTTAAATAGAACAATTTTTTTAAATAATTAAAATATTTTTAATTGTATAATTAAAATGAATCATTCTAATAATTTGATAATAATCTGTTTATCCAATATTGTTAACTACAAGTAAAACCATAACAAATTTAAAATTATTTTTAATTAACTAATCACCCTATTAATCAACTAACTTTAATTGAAATAAAGCTGAAATAAAATATAAATATTAGTTGAAAAATGTCAGCTAAAAATGTGAAGTTACCTTGGCAACTAACTGACATAAAATAAAAGTTTAAGTGCAAGTACTAAAATTACTAAAACAGAAATATAAATTATAAATGAATATTAAAAAACTAATAAGAATGACAAAAAGCACTAAAACCTGAACTACCTTTAAAATGAAAAACGAAAATATAATAACATAAAAATATAAAGCCGGTTCAGCATATTATGATATTTAAGATGCACCAGTCAGTGTCTCACCTCCCTGAAGTTCTGCTCAAAATGCCGCAGTTGTAGACATTGCTCAAGCTTGGTTTGATGTTTATCCCAAAAATCATCAAATGCCGTTTCAGTCTCATCTAACTGACCAAGCAACCTAGAAACAGAGATGAAAACACTTCTTGAGTGAAAAAATACTTCACCCAACTCATCTACTTTCTTCAGTGGAACACAAAAAGAGAAGTTTAGAAGAATGTCCAAGCTGCTCTTTATCACACAGTGAAAGCTTACAAACTGCATAACATATCATAAAAGTAGTACAAATGATTTGTTTTGTCATCTGAAATGAAAGATAGCTTCTGAAGTAAAAAAAAACCTGCCCGCTGTTACAGCTCTGAAATCTCATGCTGTATGTTTGACAGTACCCATAAATAAAAACCTCAAACAAATATAGCCACATCTACATAACAAAGGCTGACAGCAGGCGCCTGTGGACATTAACACACAGGCACGTATCCAGACCTCAGAATGCTGCTTCACTGAAAGGTCATGTGAGTAGAACTGGATTTCAATACGTTCCTGTTGGTTAATGCTCTTTATACATGTGTGTGTGTGTGTGTGTGTGTGTGTGTGTGTGTGTGTGTGTGTGTGTGTGTGGCTATTCACTATA